CCTCAGGAACTTCCTCACTCCTCAGGGGGTTTCAAGAACATCAAAGTATTTTTTTATGTACAGTAATTTTTAGGGATGTCACATTTTCCTAAGCTTGCATCGAACACCAATTTTTCTAAGTTTAAGAAGATAGAAAGTTATTAAATTTACTGTATTGGGAGAGCCATTCCTTGATGACCAGTGTTAAATTTCTTTTTTTCAGTATTACTCTTGGATCGAAAGTATAGGGATATATAGCAATGCTGCTGTCCGTGTCTGTTCACCCGTGATAGATTTCATAACCACTCGGTAACTTGCCACAGATGCAATGGATTAATTTCAGTATTAGTGCGAGTACCGGGTATAAATTATGGCAGGATCCTACTGGGCATGTTGATAGTTCATGGCTAAGCATTGACTTTACACCTTGGCTGACCATCGATTAATTTCCTGGTGTGCTTGTGTCTGGACTTGGGGTGGGGGGGTGCACCCAGCAAAGTTGCTGGTTAGGAATTTCGAGGCCACCAGTCTATGTGGCTTATAAGTGGTGTGAACTGTACCTCATACACCTGTAAGATAGCTACCTCAACCATCTGCCAGGTATTTCACACACCTTCCAGGTACATCATATATCTGCCAGAGTGCCAGGTATTGTACAGCTGTCTGATACCTCACACATCTGCTATATACTTCAAGCATTTGCCGGTCATTTCAAATTCATCAAGTACCTCACACATCTGCCAGGCACCTCATATATCTGATAGGTATCATATGCACCTGCCTGGGCTAGTACCTCTCACATCTCCCAGATAACTCACACACCTGTCAGGTATCTTACATGCCTGTCAGGTATCTCATACATTTTCCAAGTACTTCACACATCTGCCAAATATCTTACAAACCAGTCAGGCAAGTTACACATCTGTTAATTATCTCACACATCTGTCAGGTACCTATTTATAACTAGGAAAATGACACACAACTACAAAACATCACAGAGGATGGATGTATACAAGACAACAGTTAGAGGTAAGGTTGGGTTAGACAGAAATGAAAATCTGAAGTATTCTATTATTTTAAATCTACTCTCAGGGAGGATGCATGAATAGAGGCAGAGATATGAAAACAGTGGAAAAAAAAAAGAAAAATGAAATCCATCAGCTGTATGTACATGAAAGGTGTTCTTTGGCACATATCCATGGGCATTATCATCAATGTTCTTCAGCCATTTTCCATATTAGAGTCAGTCAGCGGTGATTACCCGATGGCAGCTGTTGGGTAAAACCAGAAGAGGATGTGCCCACCTACTCACCACTGCAAACCCAGGGCACTCTCCCAGAGACCAGGGGATGAGTACAGCTCTGATTACCTGGTTGTCATCACGACGTTTCTTCATATTCGTCTGCACAAAATAACAGTTGAATTTTTTGTGTTTAAGTATAAATGTCTGTCATGAAGTTCATCATCGTTTTACAGTCATTTTTCCATGCTTATGTGGATCAACTGTAGTTGCATGATGACAGCTCTCTATGCTCTCTGGCAAGGTTATCTCCAAGGTCATTTCTCACAACCTTTCCCCAATGGAATTCTTGGCCAAGCTCTCCTCTCCTCCATATTCACACATACGCATCTCTTGATCAACAGATCTCCTCAATTCTCTCAACTTGCCTAAACTATCTCAGAATACTATCTCAACAATACTGTACTCTTAATACCCAGTTGTAGTCTTGGCTCTGAAAAGGGTTTCCATCTCAACATCAAGTTAAAAATCCATCTCACCATTGTCATTTCAACTCACTCAAGCCTACACATGTCATCCTCTTTACCTTAAATTGTTGTATAATTAATATACAGTACATTCAGTAATATCATGTAACAATGGATTATATGGGCTCCTGGAAAGTTTTTGTTTTAGTGAAATGTTTGCTTGTGGCTAAATTGTACACTCGGAAACCATATTCTCTAGTCCACCTGGGTTGGTGCTGGAGGTTAGTACAGTGTCCTTTCTGGACGGGGGCCCACTCTAACTATCACGAGGCAACACACGCACGAACACACACAGTCATAGTACGGCTGTATAGATGACATTATGTATAAATATTGTATATGGCATTTTATACTCGGCATTATCTTCATTATATATGAACACGAAGAAAATTACCATAGGTTGTAGTTACGAAAGTATGAATGGAAATAAACACTCCCAAACCATACACTTGATATTACAATTTATGTATCCTTCCTGTCCATGATTTACAACAATAACTGTATGTAAAAAGTTACAATATTATACTAATAACACTGTCATGTATTGATACTATTACTAGTTACCAAGATACAGAGCACGATGAACATAACATGATAATGATAGTGAAGCCTGGAAGGGTTCATATCATAACTTGTGTGTTCGTGCGTATGTTGCCCCGTGAGAGTTACCGTGGGCCTCCATGTGCCCAGGTGGGATGGTCAAAGTATTACACTATAAGTGTGTCAAATGAGGAGTGACTGATCCACATGTAATTTAAGGTTTTTGAAATATGTAGTTAAATTAAACACGATTTTTCATATAGTTACGCGAATGATGGGGTGTGGTGGAAGCATCGTGGTCTGGCACACACACAAGCGCTGTAAACGTTGTGTGGACTCACTGGGTGGTTTGGAAGTGTTTATTTCCATTCATACTTTCATAACTACAACCTATGGTAATTTTTCTTCGTGTTCATATATAATGAAGATAATACAGAGTATAAAATGCCATATACAATATTTATACATGTCATCTATACAGCCGTACTATGACTGTGTGTTCGTGTGTGTGTTGCCTAATGATAGTTAGAGTGGGCCCCCGTCCAGAAAGGACACTGTACTAACCTCCAGCACCGACCCAGGTGGGCTAGAGAATTTGGTTCCGAGTGTACATCTGAATATCCAAAATACAATTAAAAATATCACTCTTGTCATCTGAATAATTTATCATCCATTTATTAATTATACTCAGATTACCAACATAATGGGAGAGGAGGGCTTGAGTGAATGGAAAGGGAGCATGAAGATTATCGCTAGGTTGAGATTTGACTACCACAGGAAGAAAACAGTAATAATAATGGTTGTAAATTAAGGTATAAAGTCACACCAAATAAAATTTCTTTGGTTTTTAATACTTCAACTTCTTATCAGTATCACAATAAGGTTTGTATAAAACAGAAGCTCAGAAATCCAGAACTCATCAATTCAAATTTCATAAAACCATTGCTATTTGACCAAATAAAATAAAATACATAAAAGAAAACTCAAGTGCTTGTGGAGAGCAGACTCCTTCAAACATCCCGCCATTTGTACTCTTGAAGTACCGGTAAACAACTACGGTATCAGCAGGCTCCTGAGAGGCAGTGTATTGTCCAATGACCTTGATCAATATTTAGACCTAGAAGTTCAGTACAGTATGTTTAAAATATAGTACAGTAATAAACATATACAGTACTCATGAAATATTAACAATTTAGTTACAAGGGTATACATTATCCATTAAATATTTTATACTGTACAGGTATTGGTATTTGCCGACCTCTAGAACAAATCCACATCATTTGTTTGTTTGCTATCAGATAAAGATTTAAAAGTTCTCTTTACTGCAGAATTGCATTAACAATGGAAGGACTACCTGTACATAAATATAAATAAAAAATAATGTTGCAGGTACTGTATACTGAGAAGGTGACCTAACTGGCAACTTTGTAGAAATAAACAGCTGACACGACCTAACTCCTAAATGAAGCATAAGCTTGTAATCAAATGTTTAAGCATTGTAAAAACATTCAGTTTAAAAGTACTGTACAATACCTCAAAAAATATCTGCCAGGGTGGGTCCGAAGCCTTCTAAAATGCTGCTTGCAACTTGTGATGTCCCGGGAGGGTTGGTATGCATGGTCATAAGGCGAAAAGGCAAAAATAATACATATAAATTCTAAAATGGGTGTCTCTTTTTTCTTCTCAGCATTACGAGAACTCTCATTTTTAAGCTTGCCAGCCATTTTAAAGGGAATTACAAAAAAAAAAAATTGTCAGTGCACAGCGTAATCACTAACGTCGGGACTTGAAAATACGTAATGTGAAAAATATTTTATACGACCATGGCCGTCGTATGTCCGGGTTGTCGTAAGTCGAATATGTTGTAAGTCGAGGAGAGACTGTATATACAACTCGAAGTTTGCACTAAATAAAAAAAAAAAATCCAACCAATGGATATCGATGGTTATCATTGAAGTGAGTCGTTTTAATCATACATGGCAAGATGGTCTAAATTTATAATCATCGTTAAAGCGAAATATCTCATCTTGGGATACTGTAACTCTAGATTTACCTGTATATGTGTTACTTCATGTCTGTCATTCTATCAACCTCTGTACCTCTACAGGACTTTAAAATATACTGCACATATTTGTATTTGTGTATCAATACACACACATAAAAACTCTTGATTATAAATGTTTGTCCTTCCTTCACATGCAAATACCAGTACAGTACAGTTTATTAATTTACTGAAAACACAACTAAGGCACATGCAATTTTTAGTTGGCCAATAGTTTAATTGCATAAGTGAGAACCATTGAACCAAATGGGAGAATGCGCACATGCAATTCAATAGTTGGGCGATGGAAAAGTTTGTAACATGCTACAACATGTGTGCAATGGAACCGTTGGCCAACTCGCTTGTGCATGGAGGTTTCAACATGTGCGAGCGCACTAGCAGTGAACTGTTGGCCGACTCTCACTTATTTTCTTACCTTAAAGTGACAGATTGCCTTTCATCCGGGGGGATGCTATTCCGCCATTTGGTATTTTGACATGAAGGCCCAACAAGGAATAAGAGTTCGTCAAAACTGTTGATGCTCATTCTATAGTAATTAAAAAATTTATTAGAGTAGGCCCGTAAATCTTCATACAATTTGTAAAATTGTCCTTTAATCAGCCGTTGGCTTGTGATTGGATGAACCCAGTACTGTTTTTTACATTTCTTTTTCTTTTGACGAATTATCAACACACAAACACAAGCCGATTTGACGAACTTTATAATACGACTGAAATAAATCAACCAACTGTGAATTGCAAGTGCGCAGGAATTCAAGTTAGCCAACAGTTTTGTCGGCTGGTGCATGCGAAAAACCGAATTGGCCAATAAACAATCGACCAACTAAAAATTCCATGTGTGCGGGAAGCCTAAGAAAAATTAAAAACCCACCATTTGCATCTACAAGCCTTGTCATTTTTAAGTGACCAGTGACTATTAATGACTATTTTCCACACCAAGAAGTCTTATTATTCCAAGTACTGTACAGTATTAAAAGAAAATAATTTACAGAGTTCGTAGCTACCACTGACAAACATACATCCATTAATTTCAATATAGTAAATGAATCCCAACCAGAATCTTAATCATTATTGTTGTGTCCCCTGCTGGGAAAGAAACACCTACCTTCTGGTACTTCTTTCCAGCTTTCTATCTTAAAAATAAATGAGAGGCTATACTACAACTCACATTACAGAGCAGATTATCTGCTTACTGCCTATTCACAATGGACCTTAAACATATTTCTAGGTAGGTATACTTTACTTCGTTGCTTCATTTTGGACCAACAAATATTCTCATTTAAGGTTCTTGAAACAATTCTGTATGCATGTGTTCAAAGAATTTTCAACATCAAGTTCACTGTTCTGTTTCATCATTAATCAAGTTTATTAATGCATTTACATTTTACAGTTCAGTATTTGTATAATGTATCTAATTAACATTTAAGACATCCCAAATTACTGTCATATACTGTATAATGAAGTACTGTATAAGTGATGGTCATGGCTGCACTGCGAGACCACAAGTATCCATCACCAATATATCAGAGAAACAGGAGTGCAATAAAAGCTATTAAAAGTTAAAAAAAAAATAAAAAAATAAAAAAATACAATAGCTCTAGATTTCAACCTTATTCTACCTGGTTTACAAAAGCATACTGTATACTTTTTTTTTTTATACGGGGAATAGCCCACCTGGGAACAGGTCATCGACCCACAGCGGGGCCTGGAGGGCAAAAAAAATATGAGTAAAAAGAAATTAAAAATAGAAGAGAAAAAGACCAAATTAATCTACACCACAAAGATGCCGGAAAACCAGCTTTTTGGAGGTTAAAGATTCAAAGTGAGTGTGACTGCACAAGCCATTAACATCAATGACACTATTAAAATTTATTGTTTCATGAAACACTATTTGTGAGTGACTCCATGCAAGTAAAATCTGAAACGAACAACACTCATTATTTCATGAGTCATTGATAGTCTGTGATTGGTTGTCCCAGCCTCTAACATTAATAACAAACTTAACAATAATAAGAGTAGTTTCAGGAATCGTTGACTATACTAACTTAAAAAAATGAGAATAAACACAGTTAACACTGACTGCATTGGTCTGCAACATCAAGTACAAACTTAACACTTTTATGAATTATAATTGTGTAAGAGTTGAGAATAATTTTGCTCTGGGGTTTGTGTATTTGCTTCAACATTTAACAAGGCATGGGTTGAGGGTGATAAGTAAGGAGAAAGATAAATTATGCAGGATATAATTCAACTACCAATATCTAAGTTTTCTTACTTTTGCTTTGTGCTGATAATAATTGTGTGTATTTATTTGTGAGCATGGCAAACCAATTACTGTACATGCATCTAACAACTGCATTAGTCATTTATGTATTCAATATATCTATTCCCAAAAATATTAAGTCAATTATACCTTTCTCCTTGAAAATCTGTCATTTGTACAACACAATGAAAGATGACATCGTGATGTAAACTAAAAACTGGAAAAATAATAGACAGCAATTGTGTTATATGAAACTAGAATATTATACGTACTGTATCTTGAAATCTTTCCTTCTAAATACTTTAAGTTTCAATTAAATGGTAAATATAGTACTGTAGTATAAAATACTATATGAATACAGTGTATTTACAATATTTGGATTTGAAAAGTAACAATTAAAATTTGATAAAAACTTTTCTACAAAACAGTGAGTCAAACTTGACGTGAACAAAGAATATGGATTGAAAATTCAGTTCTTTCCCCGCCCACTCCTTCATATTCTTACATCTACTCATATTAAATATATAATGTCTTATGAACACGAGATTCATCACTTATAATCATTTAAAATGTATACAACAACTAGGACTAAATATTAACAAGTTTTTCAGCACATCACTCACAGACGAATTCTGAATGAACTGAAAAAAATAGAATGTATATTAGAGCTGTATTTATTCTACTCCTGAGGTCATATCTGTTCATGTTAAGTCAAATTAATGCAAATTGTTGTGCTGTATTATTAAAATCAAACCTTCAAGTAAAATACAATCATTTTAACAAAAGTACCCAGGAAGTCATTACTTACAACATATGAATCACAGTGATAAACATACACAAAGTCCACAAAAGTATTAATTTACAACTTACTTAGCAAAGTCTGGAGATTTAGAGATGACATGTTCAAACTCAGCAAAGGCCAGCATACCATCATCATCTAGGTCAGCCTCCTCTAAAACTCTCGAAACCAGAGCCTTAAAAAATCAGAAAGTGGATCCTTCAGCATGAATATTTACTGTGCCAAGTAGGATTCACTTAACACACTAACATTTATGGATTACTATCTGATATTTAGATGTTTGTCTTCTCTAAAATGACATCTCCCACTAAAATTACTATATAGCATGCCCTTAAAATTTGCGAGGGTTTGGGTCTCAAAATGGTCGCGAATTGGCAAATCGGTGAATGTCATTTGCTGACCATGTGTGTGTGTGTATGCGCGTGTTACATTTTTACTTGTGTGCAAAGAAATGTATATTCCCTTTATGTGTCTGCCCTTAGGACAATTATTTCCTTCACTTTTACTGCAAGTGTGTGTGTGTGCAGGGCCAGATTCAGGAGTGGGCAAAGTGGGCAGCTGCCCAGGGGCCTCCACAATCTGGGGGCCTCCACATATTACAATATTTTATTTACAGTGAACCCTCACTTTACGCGGTTAATTCAACCCACGGTGGCCCACGTAAAGTGAGAAACGCGTAAAGTGAACAACATAACATATGGGATTAATTGAAATAGAGACCGGGCCAACCCCCCAAACTCCACTTTTTCAGACACAATACCTACGTTGTAGTAAAAATAACTTCTTAATTTTATGATGGTATGCACACACAATTAATAATTAAGAGAAATATCAATAATATTAGGTTTTTTAACACTTACATTAGTAGAAAAGATGGCTGGGCACACGGGATGGGGGTTGGTTCCGAGGCAGAGGGCAGATTATTGGCCCTCACCTGTATCACTTGTATCAATTGTATCACTATCCACCACAGAGGCTTGCAGGGCCTCTTTGTCAAACCCCTCAAAGTCCATATCATCACAATCATTATCACTATCACTGACATAGGCCGGCTGTGGTGGGTGGCGGGTGAAGAACTCGGTAATGTTTTGATAACTGGGCGACCTTGTGCGCACCCTGCTCGCGCCGCTTACACAACATGGCGGATGGTGGGAGAGGGCGGGAGAGATGGCGGGAGGTTTGGATCCAAAAATGGTGCGGCTCGCCAGCCGCTCTCCGCGTAAAGGGGTACACGCACCGCGTTAAGTGAGCATTCCGGTTTCGGCAGGGTACCGTGTAAACGCAGAATGTGGGACCGCGTAAAGCGAGGGTTGACTGTATTTGTTTATTCATTTGGATTATTTTTATTTTCATTCTTTAAAATTCATGTTTATCTATTCCATCACGTACAACTATGTTCAGCAAGAAGCGTGATAGAAATTAGGCTAGCTACTCCTGGTTTTCCTATGAACCGCATATTTTTAATGAATGCTATTGTTTGTGTTGCTAATAATATATTTAGAATTCCACAAACATATATTGATTAAAAATGAAATACTGTGCATGGAATAACGAAATTGAGATTAAAAAAAAAAAAAATTTCATTATCACTTCCATTACGAATGGAACCACGACTTGAAACCACATGAATGACTCCAGTCATGTCTCACTTTTGTGTGTGTGTGTGTGTGTGTGTGTGTGTGTGTGTGTGAGTGTGTGTTGGGAATTTGCACACTATCAATAAATGTACAGTAGGCTCTCACCAATAACGTTTAATAGGTGCCTGAAAAACACCGTTATTAGCGAAAACGTTATTTGTGTGACATTAAAAAGGGTTTATTGGTGCCGCCGCCACAAGAATTTCACCCATTTTTTCCCCTTGAAGCCCTCCTAACACTTTTTGTTAGCTGAAATAAAAAGAATTGCTATTCAATTGTCAAAATAAAGAGTTTGAGTAATATAACACTTAGTTTTTGAGGTGCTTGGTGTGATGATTGTTCCGTATCTGAGGGCCGCTAACACTTGCACTGTCTTTCATTCTACAATCTAACCATTCACACAAGAAAATGCTCTGTTATCACTAACAACCTGTTTCTATCACCTTTATCATTCATAGCTCGCCTCGCATTTCCATCACTACTGAAATATTTTCAGCCAGCACAATACTCTTCTTGGTCTCCTCTAAGTTCCTCTTAATATTTCGCACTGTAGACTCAGGACAGTTCAATTTCCTCACTTTAAAAGTTCCCAGTCATTCAGGTGGCAAATCACTCCCTCCACCACCTCCCTTAGCCCCCACAGGCAAAAATGCGGAAGCCATTATTGATCACCGACCCTAATAACCACTGGGCGCAGCGCTGTATTCCACTGAGCGTGAGTGAGAGTGAGGCGGAGTGGACAACTACGTCATCAACATGGCGGCAAACAAATGCTATCATTGATGCGCTCGGACGCTTCCCGCGAAATTTCCGTTATTCAAGAGAATCCAGACGTTATCGAAAATGGGTATCTTTTGTAACTTACCGTTATTGTCGAAAACGTTATTGTGGAAGTCGTTATTGGCGAGAGCCTACTGTACAGTTAATTAAAAATTTCTCAATGTTCTAATTACCTCAATATAACTGCATATGGCTTCAAAATTCTCCAAAGAAGTATTCAAATTTCAAAATTTTCCCGGGGGGGCTTACAGCGCCCCCCGGAACTCCCAGATGTTTAGGCTCGCTTCATTCGCTCCACAAAGAGGCTGCCCATGGGCCTCCACAAAGAGGCTGCCCATGGGCCTCCACAGGTCTAAATCCAGCACTGCACGCACGCACACACACACACACACTTCCTTCAGCCTTCATAGGGGAAGGACTTGTGTAGTCGGTGCTGCCCGCTGACGAGCCCTGGTCTCTTGACCATGGAGACAGCTGCCAGCCCGGTCTGTCAGGCCCTCCCCTTCTCCATCTCCTCCTCCCCATCTGGATTTATCCAACATCTTTCCACCAACAGTACAGTGCAAAGATTGATGATCAATCCACAAGTGATATACAAAAGTGACAATTTTAACTCGAAAGAGAGAAACAACTGTTAAGAGTGACATTAGTGCTTAGCGGTCAGTGTTGACCTGACCCTTGACCTGACGCACCCAGCCCGCGGTACACTCGCCACCACCAACACTGGATGAGAAGCCAAGAAACACTCCAAACTACACCAGGAGAGAAATGAGGCCTCCCTACTCCACCCAGGTGAAGAATTATGATTTATAACTACATCACATGAAGAACAAGAGCCATGTCCAACACCCTGTGTGAGCTGGAGGACCTACCCGGACCACGTGGTGCACCTGCAGCTGTAGTGAGGTAGCGGCTTAGTAGTCAGGTACAATGGCCATCAAGACAGTGGGAAGGACTCTGTTGGCACCGACATCAGGTCACAAGAATGTCTACAAGACCAGCTCTCACAGTACCAATATATAGTTAATCTATATGTTGACTATGTTTCTTATGTTTCTGTATTGAAAGCTTTTATCAATCAAGTGACCCATTCCCCAATTCCACCATATGTAACTTATCTCTGTTCATTGTATATTTTCAGCCTTCGGGCTGCCATGTTATCTTAATAAATCGTTAATTATTATTATTATTATTATTATTATTATTATTATTATTACACAAAACATTTAAAAAAAAACAATAATGGGAAAATCCTCTCAAATAATCATTAACAAAGCAAAATGTTGAGTTGGTTGGGTTACCATATAGCATTTTTTTCCTCATAAAAATTACTGTCTATAGAACGAATGGCATCTGAGCGCCAGCTGGTTTGATACGAAGATCAAACTTTCAGAATTTTTTTCGTAGCCATTTAGCAAACCCAATATGAAGGATGTCAGTAATTGTGGTGTAATATTGTATTTTTTTCACAATATGTATGTAGGGTGGTGTGTGCATGTGACCGAGTAAAAATAAAAGAAGAAAGTTACATATATCTACACGAAAATACAAGTTGAAAATCAACCATAACACCTCACAGCCATAGTTTTCTTAAAATAATATATACAGTACCAGGAAATGTGAGGAATAAATAAAAATAATACCAATAAGTTACAAAAAAAAAAATATTATGGCCAAACCAGTAAATAAAAGCCAAATGAAAGCTTAACACAGTTGCCATTTGCATACATTCCCTGCTCCACCATAGTAACGAAGATCAGCTGGGACACTGACTCGTTAGCAACGCTCCCAACCAGCTACACTCTGCGATCTTATCCCGTTACATGTTTGCCCCTATGACAATAACTTCTTTTACTTTTTTTACTGTCTATTTAGGATGGTGTGTGCATGTAACTGAATAAAAATAAATGGAAAAGTTACGTATATCTCCCTGAAAATAAGAGTTGAAAAAACCATAACACATCACAACTTGGCCCAGTAGCCTGGTGGTTACAATGACGAGCTAACCTAGCTACAATGCCATAATTAATCAATATTAAACACTATTCTATCAGTAAACACTAATAATAACAGTAAATCCAGTGAAATATGGCAGGTAGTGAGGAGAGTTACAACTGCAGACGATGCGCTAACTAGCAGTCACTCCTCCCTTACCCGCTAGCATTGCCAGGCGTAGCCAGGCATATGCATGGGAAAAATACATGACCTTCTTTTATCTCTTCACTCGCTTGGTCACTTTCCCGCGGCTGGATGAAGGTGGTTGAGGGCTTTGAGAGCCATCACAAGCATAAGGAGCACAGTTAATGAGAGAGCAGAGTAGCACACGCTTGAAACAGACAAATGTTTAACCCGGACAGAGGCAGAGTGAGTGCGCATGACCATGCCACCTGGGACAAAAGAGACACTTTGCGGGATGCCATAAACCTCGCGGGCTCCCCGTCCCGACTGCAAAAATTACCCAAACTTTAAAACTACCCGCAGACATTCTTGGGTACATCCAGGGTGTCATCCGCAAACAATCGAAGGCCTCGAATTGTAAGGACATGCTGTACTTATGAAAAGAATCTATCAACAGTGTAATTAATCACCTATGACTGCAGTCTTCTTTTGCTATCCATAAAGTGCACATGATGATCCACATCTACGCTGCAAACACCGTGTCATATTTGTTTATTGTGTATTACTCAATTTCCAATTAACAATAAAAAAAAAGGTACGAGTTTAGTTTTAGTCTGGGCTTATATCACATTTTTGTATATAATGCAATCAATTCAATACTGTACTTTATAAACTACCATGATATAATATGGCTCCTTTATATTTACATATAAATCATATGAATAACATAAAAAAACTATACAGTACCAGATAAGTACAGGTTGACAACCCTTTATCCGAAATTCCGAAAACCGAAAAGCTCTGAAAACCGAAAGTTTTTTGTGGAGCAATTCCTTTTTTTTTTTTTTTTTTTTTCAGGGATTAGCCCACCCAGGCATAGATCACTGACCCACATCGGGGCCTGGTGGGCAAAAATGTAATAGTAATACTTATTATAATAATAATAATTATTCATAGTAAATAAAATTTTTAATAAAAAATACACCAAAATAAAATAATAATAATAACAATAATAATAATAAGAAAATATAATAATAAAATTAATAATAATAATAATAATAATAACAATAATACTGTATTAATAAAATAATAATAATAATAATAAAGAAATACAAGAATAAAAAAAGATAAAAAGTGAGAAACACGACCTAGACCTATGAATTATTATTATTATAATTATTATTATATTTTCGCCCCCCAGGCCCAATGTGGGTCAGTGACTTGTGCCCGGGTGGGCTAAAAAAAAAAAAACATTCTGAAAACCGAAAAATTGAGAAATCCGAAATGCCTCTGGCCCCAAGGATTTCGGATTAGGGATTGTCAACCTGTACCAGTAAATTTCTTCTGGTAAAGTTATGGAATTTCAAACTCTTTGTATTCCCTGGTTCCATTATGAATTCTTTATCCAATTTATTCTTCTAAGTTGCCTACAATGGCAGTAAAGTATATGTACAGGTTGACAACCCTTTATCCGAAATTCCGAAAACCGAAAAGCTCTGAAAACCGAAAGTTTTTTTTGTGGAGCAATTTTATTTTATTAATTTTTTTTAACAGGGATTAGCCCACCCAGGCATAGATCACTGACCCACATCGGGGCCTGAGGGGCAAAAATGTAATAGTAATACTAATTATAATAATAATAATTATAATAATACTAATTATTCATAGTAAATAAAAATTTTAATTAAAAAATATACCAAAATAAAATAATAATGATAACAATAATAATAATAATAAAATTTATAATAATAATAATAACAATAATACTGTATTAATAATAATAAAGAAATATACAAGAATGAAAAAAGATAAAAAGTGAGAAACATGACCTAGACCTATGAATTATTATTATTATTATTATTATTATTATAATTATAATTATAATTTTTATTATATTTTCGCCCCCCAGGCCCCAATGTGGGTCAGTGACTTGTGCCCGGGTGGGCTAATAAAAAGAAGCAGAAAAAAAAAACTAACCATTCTGAAAACCGAAAAATTCCGAAATCCGAAATGCCTCTGGCCCCAAGGATTTCGGATAAGGGATTGTCAACCTGTACAACTAATTCCTACCTTTAAGAGAAGTTATAATTTACAGTAATATTGTTTCCAAATCTAATCAAGCCTCTTGGTGAATGTTTACACTTAATATAACTTAAGATTTGTATTTGCTTTTTTTGTGAAAGTATCATTCCCTTTAAAGCAATTGTTGTAACTCTTGCAAGGCCCTAACTACTATGTTGATGGGTGACCAGAGTCTACTGCAAACATGCACTCTACCCTTATTTACTATACAGTGCCTTCAAGATGTAAGAATGTTACAACATTAAATATGAAAAGAGTAGAACAATTCTTGATTAATTAATGTGAATAAAATACAAATGGTAGGAAAACGTGCAGAGCATTAATACACACCTCCATGTCTCTATCTGAGAAGCGCTGAGGGCTGACAAGCTTTGTAATGGTCTCCTCCAGATCTCCTCGGCCTAAGTAGTCATCACCATCAAAGTCTATAGTCATGATAATAAAACAAAAATTAAATACTGTATGCAAAATTTGAGTTCACTAAACAAACTCCTGTATTAGCTATACAGTAACTTACTAGCCATAAGTACAGTAGTATACAAACATGATCAAGTAAAAAATTCAATTAAATGAAAATTCAATGTCATTTATAGGTTCACATTAAAGGAGAGTACACGAGACATACCAAAAATACGGAAGGCATATTCTGCTTTAACGGACTTTGGAGCAGTTTCACTAAACACCGACATCATGTCCAAGAAATCTTCAAATGTGCAGTCACCATCCTGAAATTCATTACTGTACGTACATAAAAATTTGTCTACATATACAGTACCTGTACTACTGGATCTGTACAACACACCTATATAAAACCTCTTATAGCCTATATTCTAAAGAATATATTTTTTTATTAAGTGATGCTTATTTACCCAATGCACTCACCCACTATCTATATTGCAGAAATTATTATGAAACATTATCATGATATATCAGGGGTCCCAAATTATTTTTTTATATTTACTGAACTGTTATAAATTACAGTAAAGCCTCAAATAACAACAGTAATGTGTCCTCCAATATTGCAGTGTAAGGTGAATCATCGTATCATGAATCATTAATTACCATTAAAATAAAGCAATAATAATGAGATGCATTCCCCAGTGTGACCTTTTCATAACTTTTGTGTGTCTTTTTACCCTCTTTTCCCCCAAAATAATACAATTAATGAAAAATGCAAACTATATTCTTTAAATAATGTTTATGAATGCACCTTATATATTATAAATCAATAATAATAAGACCACATAAGAGGAGATGGGACGCCATTGCTGTTGTCGTGTTTACACCCATAATGTCAGTTATCCATCTGAAACAAGAAAATAAGACCCTGGTTGTTGCTAGAGGAAAATTAATGTAAAAAATTATGTGTTTTAATTAATGTTATTTAATGTACAGTAAAAGTAACCATTGATGTTAAAGAAAAAAAGAGTGATAGTGGAAGGCAAATGTATGCTTGCGCCCTCAAGGAAACAGCGTCATTTATCTTAAGAATACAGTCAACCCTCACTTTATGCGGTTAATGTAACTCGCAGGGTCCCGCGGAAAGTGAGGAACGCGTAAAGTGAATAACGTAACATAGGGGATTAATTGAAATAGAGTCCGGGCCGACCCCCAAACTCCACTTTTTGACGACACACAACTATGTTGTAGTAAAAATTTTATCTTAACTTTATGATGGTATGAAAAAACAAGTAATATAGAAGAGGTTAGGTTAGGAAAAATAAAGGTTAACATAGGAAAAATAAAGGTTAGGTTAGGAAAACTAAAAGTTAGGTGGAACACTTACGTTAGTAGAAGAGATGGGTCGGCGTACGGGGATGGAGGCTGGTTCCGAGGCAGAGGGCAGGCTACTGGCCCTCAGGTGAATCACCATTACTAGGTGCATCACCATCACTGTCACTTACAGTTGTCAGGGCTTCCCTGACAAATCCCTCAAAGTCATCTTCACTGTCACTATCACTGGCTTGGGCTGGCTGTGGTGGGTTGCGGGCGAAGAAATCTGTTATGCTTTGCTGACGGCTGGTGTTGATGTTGTCGTGATACACCTTGATGTAGGGCTCCATAGTCTGCAACAGCTGGGTAGTGAAGATTTCATACCTGTTTGCATCAGGTTCGTCGGAAAGGAGCAGCTTGGCTTTCTCGATACACTCGATGGCACCCCTAACATTACTATGGGATAAGTGTTGTTCTTCTTGGGATGACGCACCACCTGCCTCTTCACTGACGTCGTCATCATCATGTACCATCTCCTCGGTAGTCACATCAGGTTCCATTATCACCTCCATGATGTCGTCGTTGGTGGTCTCGGAGAAACCTGGAACTGTAACAGTCTGCGCAGCTTCTCTGGCAAGGTCCACTGCTACTGCAACAGTCTGAACCTCACCAGTCACAGATTGACTCCTCCTTTCACCTGGTATTCCATGCAACACATGTCTCCATGCGTGACGAATTGTAGCAATAGACAGCTGAACCCATGACTCCACCAAGAAGTCCACAGCTTTCTTGATGTTAAATACTCTCCAGAATTGTTTGAACAGTATTTTTTGCTGTGCCAACTGTTGATCCTCATCTTCTTCGCTCTTGCTATCGGTGGTGGTGTCACTCAGGTTACGCAACTCTTCCCTGGTGTTGGTGTAGTCGTTCAGGAGTTTGAATTTTTTCGTAGAGAATGCAACTTTTACATTACAGATTAACTCTTGGTCCATGGGCTGTAATATAGACGTAGTGTTGGGAGGAAGGAAGACCACTTTTACGTTGGGGTGACGATCTAACAGTAGGGGCGAGTGTCCTGGTGCGTTATCCAGCAGCAACAAAATCTTGAATGGCACATTCTGTCGCTCACAGAATTTCTTTACATTGGGAACAAAACAGTCATCAAACCAGGAGAGGGACAGAGTGGGGCAAATCTAAAAATAGCGTCGCGCCGGACACACTCAACGTAATGGGGTTCACGCACCGCGTAATGTGAGCACGTTAGGTTCTGGCAGGGCACCGCGTTAACGTGGAAACGCGGAATGTGGGACCGCGTAAAGCGAGGGTTGACTGTATGTACAAAAGATTCATTACTGTTTTTCACTGAATAAGTATTTGATTGAATTAATGTTTAGATATGCAAAATGAACAATGCAATTCATTAATAATACATAGAATGTTAAAACACACAAGAGGAGACGAGACGGCATTGTTTTCATTCATGTTTACAACACCTGTGACGAATGACGATGGTTCTACTTCTACATAAGAAACTGAAGAAATAAGACTCTCGTTAGTGCTGTAGTAAAATTAATGTAACAAAATGAATATGTACATATTAAGTAATGTTATTTAATGATAATAAGTGGAACAATAGAAGTAGCTAACCAGTAATGGTAAAGAAAAAACGAAATAGATTGGAACTCCATCGTATGTAAGTGCGTATACAGTGGTCCCTCCATTAACGAGCAGTTCAATTTATAAGATTTCATTTAACGAGTTAACTCTTGGAAGACTTTCAGTTCTATTAACGAGTATAAATTCTATTGACAGCCCTATGAGAAGCACGTTTTGGCGCGCGCATCAGCTGATCAACTAGTCCTTTGTTTCCAGTGGAGTAAACATCGAGAAAGCTGTGCTCTTGAATATTTTTGCATATTTACGTTAAAATTATTGGTTATTCTGAAATTTAGTTAACATATTGATAATATACAGTGCAGAAATACGAAGAAGGCATTAGAACCAATGCACTGTAAAGAATATGGTATGTCATCATCAACTGTGTCTGCAATTAGCTGTTTGCGGTGCCGCTATGTGAACAAAGCAATGGCGGGAATTCCACATACACACCTCAAATTAAGTGTAAAAATATTGTATTGTTTTTCTATTTATTATTGTATAGTACAGTGGTCCCTCGATTAACGAACACAATTCGTTCCAGAAGGTTGTTCATTAACCGAATCCATTGTTTCAATGGGATATTGGATAATTGGTTCCAGCTCACCGAAAAATCCATACAAAGTAAAAAAAAAAATGCAGTAAAAAACACTTACTCTGAGGTGTGTATGTAGAAGGCTCCTGGTTGATGATGATGATGGGAATTAGAAGTGGGGGTGGAGGAGAAGGGAGAAGAGAAGGAAGTGGGGATGGAAGAGAAATCACCACATGCTTGATGCCGTCATGTCACCAATAAAATTTTAAGTTCACCAGGTGTAATTCAAGATTATTTTCTTTAAATTAACACTGCACTGCACTATATATTGTCAATATGTTAAATAAATTTCACAATGACCGATAATTGTACTGTAAAAACGTAAAATTACTGTGTTCAAGAGACCCCACAAGCAAGATGTTTCCTCCAGTGAACAGAGACACAAAATGAAGACTTGGTGGGTGAGTGAAGTGGCTGATGGGCACACCAAAAACTAGTTCCCTGTACTGCAATTATGTTAAATAAGTGTTAAAATGACTAATAATTTTAATATAAAACTTGGAAAATTATTGAATAGCACAACCTTCTTAATATTTACTTCAATTTTAACAAATGTAAGCCCTAGAACCGATTACTGTATTGGCGGACTAATCTTCCAGCTGGTGAGCAAGCTAAAACATGTTGAAACATTTTCGTAAGAATTTCGTAAACCGAAATGAAGATTTTTATGGAAAGTAATTCGTTAACTGAAATTTCGTAAACCGAGGCGTTCGTTAACTGAGGGACCACTGTATACTGTACAGTACAGTTTCTCCTCGACTTACAACGGGGTTCCGCCCCGATGTAAGTCAAAAAGTCGAAAATAATACATAGAAATGGGTGTCTCTTTCTTCTCAGCACCACGAGAACTCTCACTTTTAAGCTTGCCAGCCCTTTTAAAGGGAATTACAAACAAAAATTTTGTCAGTACACAGAGCGATCACTATCGTTGGGACTCGAAAATATGTAAGGTGAAAAATATTTTATACGACCATGGCCGTCGTATGTCCGGGTTGTCGTAAGTCGAGGAGAGATTGTATTGTATTTTGTTTATATTTAATGTTTTGTTAATTCTATTATCGGTATACAGGACTTTGTATGTACGTTTTAATTAATTTTAAGGTAATTCTGTGAGTTGGAACCCATTGAAATAATAGATTCAGTTAACGAGTGACTCTGTGGAACCAATTGTGCTCTTTAGATGAGGGACCACTGTATGTGAAAACATTGTCATTTCTCTAGTACAGTGAGTTCTGCTATAACGCGTGTTTTGATAACGCGAATTTGCTCTAACGCGATTTATGAATTCGGAACAATATTTGTATAACGCGAACGCTTGTTTGCTATAACGCGATTTTTGCTTACTATTTCTCCAATTTTGTGGTATTAACTGTGAATATGGTAAAGAAGAATATCTCCAAAAGGCGTTCTGGTGATAGAATTCCCGGTGATTATCGTAAAAGAAAGGATATAACACTTGAAGAGAAGCTCGATGTTATCAACCTCAAAATCACCCTTCTCCCCCATCAAGTTACATTCATATTTTTTCAAGGTAAAGTGTTAAATTTACTGTATGATTTCATTATTAGATATGAATGTAACATTTATTTAGACTGTGCTATCCTTTGTGTTAGGCTAACTACTAAATTTTTTCGATTTCGAGTAATCTGCACCTAACCCTATTTTCTCCATAAGCCCTGTTATTTCTATTACGCGATTTTCTATAACACGATATTTTACAAGAACACAATTATCGCGTTATAGCAGAACTACCTGTACATGAGAATATGAAAGCAACATCTATTACTGTTCATATATGTTTTAAATAATACTTACTAATATAAAAAAAATTCTACTTACAAATGGTAGTAAAGTCTAAAACATAAGGACAGCCAATGAATATTGTGCGAGTTTTTATTCAGATGATTTTGTCAATCAGGTTCAACTCTGGCTGAAGCTGAAGCTTTCCACAAAGGTATCATAGCTGTTGCTGAAACTGTTACTGAACCTGAAGTTGTTGCTGAAGCTGCTTATGATACTGAATTTGATGGTGCAGCTGAAGTTGGTGGTTTAGGCCTTTGAATAATAAAGCTGTTGAAAGAACCTTTCTCAGCCGCTTTCTTTTCTCATTATAAATCTTTATGTAGAGGTCATATGTGTTTTTCACGTACCTGTTAATTTTAATGCTCCGTTCTGTTAAAGGATCCACTTCAGAAAATAATAATATGTTCATTGCTTCCTCCATATAATAACAACAGACCTCTCACCTTTTCCATATCGTTTTAACACATCTAGTTTCTCGGCTAAGCTTATACACTTTCTTTTAGCTTTTGAACCAGCACTATCATATCTTGCTCTCTTGCTCATATTGAACAGGGATGCAAAAAATGCTGTAAGAAACCTGAGAATGTTTTTCTCTTTTTCCTGTTCAGAAGAGTGAAAACAAAGGGCCCGCCAGCTGCGACTGTTTATACTAGTGATGCTGGTGTCACCCTCACAAGCTCAGCAGCCTCCGTGCGCAAAGCGCGTTTTTTTTTATTTGTATAATTCATATCGGGATTTGGTTATTATTTATATGAAAATGTAATTTTACTTTATCTTATATAATACTTCGTAAATATGGAGAAAATAATGGTGTAAATTGAATTGGGTCCTAAATTAACCAGGGTCTCAAATATGAATCGTCGTTAGTAGCACCGTCGCTATGAGAGGCTTTCCTGTAACTTCATTTTGACATACAGTAAGATCTTGTATTTCGCGAGTAATATACTGGAAAAAAATGCGCCAAATGCAAATACATAAACTACAGTGGGGTATGCTATAACGAACGGATCCTACTACGAATATTCCTATAACGAACGGTTTTACCTATAAAATTGAGAAATGCTATAACGAATGAAACTCCTTCAACGAACACTATTTAAAAAAAAATTTTTTTTTTTTTTTTTACCAATTGTTTTTTTCTTACAAGTATTAATGATAATCTTTATTTCAGCGGTTTAGATGCATATGTATGCACTTTTTTACATTTTTTACAATTTTATATTGTATTTTTCAGTGTTAAGTGGCTGTATTTGGGGGCCTGGAACGGATTAATGCTATAACGAACAAGGTTCTAGAACCAATTAGATTCGTTACAGCATACCCCACTGTAATGGGAAAAATAACAATATAGACTGGCCACTCTACATCAACCTCTGATTTTCCCATTTATAACCTCCAAATGATACAAATTCTGCCTTTATTGACTTGATTGTGCTTTCCAGAAACTAGTCTTTAGGCCTTCCTCAAGTAACTTAATCACACGCTGCTTATCCATCGAGTACTTGGCAAACTTGACTCCCTTGTGATCGTCCCGCTTTTCCTTACTTGACCACTTAGGTGGGTCTGTCCCACCCCCACCAGCACCAGTAGGACCCCCAGCAGAGGTAGAGGCCATTATCTTGACTCGACAGGTGGTAGCACCATCCAAAAAAGCACACAGTAACAGCCTGGACGGTCGCTAGGATGACGCGAGCTACAACGCGATAGTTGCGTTCTTGTAAACCTCTTTTACGTTCACCACCGGGAATTCAATCACCAAAACGCTTCTTGGAAACATTCTTCTTACCTTGTCTTTCCCTATTCATCGCTAACACAACAAAATTGGAGACAATAGCGAAAATCAAGAAGTAATTGACAGAAACCGAGCAATTCAACTTATCACGTGATGTAAACCGTTATTAGTTCTCACTGTGAAACATTCCTTTTACTTACTTTTTTCATGCAGTATTTATGGGTAACAGCTAAATTTGAAAAAAAAAAAAAAAAAAAAAGTACCTCTCAAAAACACAAAACAATTGAGCATGTGATGTCAAACGTGAACAATAAACATTGCATAACCCCGCGCCACGCTTAAAACGTTGAGGATGGAATAAAAACATTGAGGATGGAATCGCACTATAGCCAACATTCGTATGCAAAAGATTGCATTTTACCAACAGAGTTACCCTATTCATCAATCGCGTTGCAACCAATTCGCGTTGACAAAACACGCGTTGTAGCAGAAATGACTAACTGGTACGAGGGTTGTGACGTCAATCAAGACGGTGGCCAGCATTCAGCTTGCTGGATCTCGCGAAATTCACGATATTTTACTCCAAATGTAAGACTTGGTTACATTAGGTAGTGCTCGCGAAATTAAAAAACGCGAAATGAAATCGTGCAAAACATGAGATCTTACTATACAGTACAACAGTATGGGACTGTCTGGTATCTGGAATGCTCCAAAAACTGGCTAAGTTTTTTTTCTCTTCAGATGACTGTACGTATATTAAAATGAGCACCAAAATTAATTCCTGGGCTGAGTGGGAATATTTCCAACCATTCCCCCCCCCCCCGTGAGCTGTATGTTATAGTTATTTTTCAAATTGTACTTTTGGGTAGATATATTTAAATAAAATTTTCTTTACTCTGTTAAATACAAACTCAATCTTACATACAGAAAGGGAAAAAATAAAAAAAATAATTATCATAAAAGATACTGCAAAGCATTTTTCAACTCAGAATTTTGGGTAGATATACATTTTTTTTATTCAGCTACATGCACACACAATCCTACATGCAAAAAGTGGAAAAAGAAATAATTAACATTAGGTCTAAAGTTTTTACATATCTGTGTGCTTCTACCAGCCATCTTCCTGAATGCAAGCTTCAGCCCATTGCAAAAGTGACTGTCGCGCATGTTCGAAGACTCGAGGAGTGTTGCGATGCTTGTGGCACAGTCTTGCACTCAGCGCCACAATTTCTTAGGAGTCGGGACTTCTGTAGTATACACTTTACTTTTAACATGACCCCACAAAATGAACTGGGGCACCATCATGCATGTACAGTAGTACTGTACCACAGTTGTTGACATATCCTAATGGGCACATCCTGAAGCATCACTGGCAAAATGTCTTGAAGAAATGTGTTTATGTTTCACCTGCCAGTTGCTAGGGTAGCAGATGTGGGCCAAAGAAGTGGTCACCAATAATGCCGGCTCAAACACTGACTGTGAATTGTACCTGATGAGATGTGGATTAACAACAGACCCACTCAATTGTTAGTACTTTCTTCAAACAGGGCTTGATATTTTATGTCCATAGACTTGTTGCAATCCTTCCCTTCCCAGGTTTATGGTATAACTCCGGAAACTATGGGGTATTGACACTACAGTATGGTCATGGAGTCATTTATCCTCATGTATTTTAAAACACCCTGTAAAGAGGTCCCTCGGTTAACGAGCACAATTCGTTCTAGAAGGTTGCTCGTTAACCGAAAAATTTGTTAACCAAAACCATTGTTTCAAAGGGTAATTGGTTCCAGATCACTGAAAATTGCCTAAAGTCAACAAAATAGGCAGTAAAGTACACTTACTTTGAGGTGTGTATGTAGAAGGCTCCTGGATGATGATGATGGTAATTAGAATGGGGGTGGAGGAGAAGGGAGAAGAGAAGGCATTGGGGTGGAAGAGAAGTCACCCCATGGCACCATTTCACCCATAAAATTTTAGTTCACTTGGTGTAATTCAAGATTATTTTCTTTAAATCAACACTGCACTGCATTATATATTGTCAATATGTAAAATAAATTTCAAAATGACCAATAATTTGACTGGAAACACAGAAAAAAAGCGTTTATGTTGAAGAGAGTCTGAAGCAAGATGTTACCTCCACTGAAAAGACACAGAGACTGACGCCTGTATGGTGTGTTGACAGGCTGTTTGGCGCGCTAAAACTAGTTTCCCTGTACTTAAATTATGTTAAATAATTGTTAAAATTACTAAAAATTTTAATATAAGACTTTCAAAATTATGTAATAGTACAAACTTCTTGATATTTACTAAAATAGTAAGGAATTTAAGCCCTAGAACCGATTACTGTATTGGCGGACTGATATGACAGCTAGTGTGCAAGCGAAAACATGTTGAGGGGCGCTCATAAGGAATTCATTAATCGAGGGAATGCTCGTTAACTGAAGTTAAGAATCTTATGGGAGGTAATTCGTTAACCGAGGGATCACTGTATAGGGACAGAGGGAACCAGGTGTCATCAGTACCGGGTACATATATTTCAACAGATGTTTATATATAATACAAGCAGATCAGGATGGAGTGGGTGTGACTTGGTTAGGGAACAGATAGGGAAGGGGATTCCTGAGAATTCTACATCTTTGAATGCCCCATTAAGACAAAGTTTCAAAGTTCTACTGTATATTAAGAGAATATTAATTTTGCAACAACACATCTTAAAAAGCAATACCTTTGTCGATGAAAAAATGAGACACATGCGTTCACCAAATGGGTTGGCTCGCAATTCTGGCAGAGTTAGTAACTTGTCCATGGGTAGTTTGGCATTTCGGTTGTGACCCACCTTCTCTAAGGCCAGGTTCTTAAAGCGCTTGTGTGCACTGTAGATAGACAATATTTAATTAAATAAAATTAAAGTTAACAAAGTACAAAGTTAGTAGAAAGTATTTCCAAAGTATAGAGATGGCTCTGTTATGGGGTTCAGGTGAGCTATTATAATCTCTAACTATTCATGAACACGCATATATGATCTTCAATACAGTACAATACTGTACTTATCATAACAATCAAGTGAAATCATATAACTACTGTACTTCACTATCACTTTGGTAATAATCTTCAAAACTGTTCAGTACTTACTGTACTACAATAATTCAGTGACAGTGACTAGCTGTGGTAATTGAACTCTGACTACAGCATCAACTAAAATGAATCAGGGATTAGATTCCCAAAAGATCATATGCTGAATTTACTCTGTACCTGAAAAAATTATAACTCGGTGACTTATAAACAAAAATACTGTCCGAACTGACATAAAAATTAAATGGAATCCCTTAACCCAATTAGAAGACAAAACTAATGTTGATTATTTGTGAATCCTGATCCAAGATCTCACACTTACTAGAGGATCTCCTTTTTGGTGAAGTACGTCAGTTCCTGGAGAAAAAAAAGGACCTTGTGTTATTAAATTGTCATAGTAAATTGCAAAGTACAGGTCAGTTTTAATTACATAATGTTCAGAAAATCTGAAACATATCATATTGGTACAGAACTGTACTGGTATATAAAATGCACTTAAAAATAGGAATATAAAAATAATGCAGTGAATGACCATTGTTTTATACAAAAATGAATACAGTATCCCCTTTTATGGTGATGGTAAATTAAATTGGTTCCCTGTTTTCAACATATACTGACCTGCCAACTGGTACAGACACAGGGAATGATAGCATCTAACTGGTTGAATTATTAATCAAAGTGATGAGAGACAAATAAGATATAGGTGTGCACCTTATTTTCATTCAGATCACTAAAAAAATTATTTAAGATTATAAGTTCATCTGTAGATATTATAATCATATTTAGTAAAATTTCTTCCACAAGTTACCTTACTAGCCATTCAGGTGGTTGGTTTGCTCTTTGTTGCGACCTTCAGTGTCAAATGTTAGTACAGAAGGAAACCTACATGATATTGTGCGATAACACCAGATTATTCAATTAAAACAATTCACATATAGTAAGTTAGTTAGCGACTTCCAACTTCTGATATCCAGGGGTAATTTATCAAAGCAACAAATTGATCATTTTGCAGTAAAAGATAATTATTTGCCTACTTAAGGGAATATACAGTACTCCATTCAGTTCTTCAGTTAGAGCGAAGGTGGTAGCAACAGCTTTACACCATTCAATATGTACAAAAATATTGCAGACAGTTAACCACTGCAGTTTAATGTACTTTTTCTTCACATGGCACCATTTTAGTAATGATACAAAGATCATCACGGTATTTACAAGTTGTACTCTGAAATAATCACAAAATTATTTGTACTGTACTCTTAAAAATTGATGGCAAACAGATTATACAGTATACTGTACACTGTATACACTATGGGCCAATAGGCCCCCCGCTGCAGTTTCCTCCATTCTTAATTCACTATTACACCTCATTCCTTCAAATTGGCTTCTCATATGAAAATAATCCCACAAGCTGCTAACCATTTGTAAGGGGAGGAGGGGATTTAAGTTTTTGTTATTATTTTTAATTTTCATGCTCTTATTAATTATTAGCTACATAATTATGTGTAAGAAGAGATATCTTTTCTTTTATATTATTTTCTATTTATCTTTTCTGTTATATAATATTTAACTTCTATATCACTTTATTTAATTTCTTAGGTTTTGTAGGATATAGAAATACAGTAAAACCTCGATTAACTGACCACTTATGGAGGGGGAAGGGGCCGACGGATAATCCGAAAGGTAGGTTAATAGTACATAAAGTCTACGGAAATAAAACATACATTTTCAAAGTACCTTTCCCTAACCTACCTCATTTAATTCCCTCTATTCATTTTTGTTCATTTCCCATTCATATTTCAATAGAATTTGCTTTAAAACATTAACAACTTTAGTAAATAAATATGAACCAGCACAGAAACCGTGAATTAAAAATGGAAAAGTCAAAGAACATACGGCAATAGGGTGTGTCATAGGAGGGAAGATCAGCTAAAACTAATGGCCCATCACTTTTTTGGTAGATTTTAGTGTATATAAACAGAAAATAATTTCAGTTTCAATATTTTGCAACCTTTTGCTAGGTAAATTTTAGCGTGAAATTTATCGAAAATCTAACGTACAGCTGCATTAGTACATTACAATTAAATAGTGAACATTGCTTTCTGACTTCATTCTTTAACAACCCAACTAATAACATATTTTTTTCTGTTTCAGATTCTGATGCATTTATAAGTTGATAATATTTGCGGAAAACTTGTGTCAGGACGAGGAACCAAAATCCAGCCATCTCAGTCACTATCTTGGGTCTGGGAGAGAGCTCCTGAAGTCGGAGTTGCTACGACATTGAGAGATCCTTTTTGAGATACGGTGTTTTAATCAGGCAAATCAGTGAAAAGAACCAAAAGAACTTACACAAACAAAGACATTGCCAGTGATATGACCAAAAGCTGTCTTAGCACAGTACACTTGGCTAACGCCAGTTCAAGCCTCCAGTCATAACAAGTCAGAAGAAGATTAGTGAGAGACTGCTAGCCAGTTGGGAAAAGGCAAGATATCTCTCTTGGGAGAGGAAAACTTGCAGTTAAGGACAGCTTTGCCAAAGCAACTGACCAGTTATTTGGCACATAATTACTTGCAAGTGCCCAATTGTTCTCTGTCCTGAGTTTGGATGCGATCGTGACTGTAAACCCGAGGCCCACATCTCTGTATTTACTGGCATAGACTGAAGATTCTGTGATCGAACTGGCATTAGTCAAAGCACAGAGAAGACTGGCGGTATAGGGGCTCTCCTGTGATTTCCTAGCCAAAGATATTCCGGAGTCCAAGAGACAGAGAGGCGCCTACAGAGAGAGACAGAAGAGGAGAAGAGTTGCCGGAGAAGAGACTTGAGAAGGCCCAGAGTGAGGGTAAAGGCCCGTTGGAGTCAAGCTGATTCAGGTTTAATGACTTCCCCATGGCTGATCGAAAGCTGACCAGGAGAATGGTGACTTTGTCCCAACCGCGAAATAATGATCCCAAACCTTCCAGGCATAAGATTCAGAAATAGGAAAGATATCCCGGCGTAGCTCTTGCATACACCACACTGGCCTCAGAGAAACTGCAGATAGCAACACATGCCTGGATTGACGTGTTTTGATAACACCTGATGATGTTCTACCTGGTGATAGATCATAACAAAGTAAGAGAGAGCTCAGGAGAAACTTGTCAGTAACCCTAGAAGAGAGTTTGATAAGGGATAGAAAATGGAATCAATTGTTTGTCTTTGATGGGAGAAGGTGACGCACTAAAGTGTTCATGAAAGTTGGAGATTCTGACAAGTTGTTCCCTGCCATGGTGAAGGAGGAACACTACTCCTGCTGCAGTGAACCAGGAGGAAGTATTTTGGCATTTCACCCAGAGAAAGATGACATCAGGGAAACCAGCTGAGATAATGGCAAGATAACGGCAGAACTGACTCAGAAGACAATAGACCAGACCCTGCAGGCCATTGGAGGGGACCAGCACCAACATCAACACAGGGTGGCAAGGGGTCATACAGTGGATAGAGCAGGGAGATTGGGAGGAAGCTGGTCTGGATTGTTTTGTGACCCCACACCAACGAGTTGCCACTCAGACATCTGATCCAGGAGCTGATGGCAAGACTCTTTTCAAACAACAGATGGTCTGGTCCTCTTGGCAAGATGCTGGACTCTGCCACTGAGTTAGAAATAAATCCGAGCTTTGAAAAATCACAGTTGGCCCTCCACTTTCGCTGAGCTTCTGCACATACTCGTCATTGATCTACCCTGAGTACTGGACCAGTACTATGGTTACATGATTTGCAGTGCCATCAAAACTGGGGTCATGCCTGAGACTTGCTTACCTGCAGATAGGTCCAGTCTCACATTCTAGGTGGCTCACAACGGCTCTCAGGTTCTGCAATTTGGGTCGCTCATCATAAACTGAAAGGGAACCAGCTTTCACAACCTGAGACTTATTGTCCAATTCATTGTGAGTGTCTACTGCCAAATTTGGTTCAACACCAAGGTCAAGTCATAGTTCTCCAAGGTCCGAGGCATGTTCTCTTCCAGCTTGAGCTCCTGAGAGTCAGCCAAGGAAGGTTGTTCAGATTGTGGAGCAGACTGTGAGGAGATCTTCCGGTATGCTCCTCATCCAGAGGCAGTTCTGCAGACAATGCTCTGCAATGGGATGAGGAAGAGAGAAGAGTGGCAGTCAAAAGATCTTGGATATGAGACTTATGAGAGATCTGGGCATGACGTAATCAGTTGGTGACGATTCCTTCAGGGTCAGGAAGACTCCTGAAGTCAATCTAGGTGCCAAGACCTCACTGATCTCATAGATCTGGATAACATCCAGGCTGGCAGTGACCCCCCTCTTACCTGCAGCCTCACCAATGTTCAAGTCAGTCAGAGCTTTCCTGGACAACCCCATGCATGTCTTTCGCCTGGCCCTCGCACACCCAGAGTATAGAGCGTTGCTGTGTACACAGCAAGTGAGCGAGGCCAGCAGTCACGTGGCCAGCCAGGAGAGGAGGGAAGGCTACATCCGAGCTCAGGTGGTCAGCAGGGAGGTGAGTAGAAACAGAAGCAAGAAAAGACATGTTTCTATGGTGTGCAGCAACACCGGTCGTAGTAGTAAAACCGTTTTTTGTATTTGATGATTTTGTTTTCTAAAGGAATATTAAATTTAATAAATGTGTCAAGATCATTCGTTTCACTATTCTGGATCATTTTCATCCTAATAAATTAACCTGATACATTTACTTTACTTTAAATAAGCTATTTAGTGGTGTTGGTAAAGGGTGGGAATACTGAATTTTCATAAGATTTCAAGTTTATTTAATCGAGCAAAAATGAAAACTCTTTCAAATCTGAAGATATCACATGATTCTGCACATAGAACTACATCATTAATACCATGGGCCGATTTTTCAAACTCGTACCTGCCTCCCAGATGACACCCTAATATGGCATCACAAAAATTGTGACCAAGCCCCAGGTTGCTGGATCTGACTTTCACCTCATTTACAATACAATTGCAGGGTCTCAATTACTTCTCTTACTATTGACAACACAACATACATTTATTGTTTCTCACTCTTGATTTTTTCTTCATTTTTGCATTTATTTATGGTTCTTTATTACTACAGTATGCTATAACTAACGTAATTGGTTCCAGAACCTCGTTTAGTTATAGCATTCGTATATAGGATTAATCTGTTCCAGGCCCCCAAATACAACCACTTAACACTGAAAAAATTCTGTGAAAATGTAAAAAATGGCACTTTATCTTACCTTAGTGTTGTTCAGCATGCAGGACAGGAGGCAGAGGGGAGGGAGGAGGAGAGAATTATTGAGAAGAGGTGGAAGGAGGAGTCATCCTTCCTAGCCCTCTTTGGTGACTGTCTCACAGGCACTTTG